GGTGGGCAGGGGCAGCGAGCGGGGCCCGGGTCGGCCTACCTACCTCGGAAGACGGCCAGTGTGCCGTTGGGCAGGGCTACCATGCCGTTCGCCGGCCTCCCGCTGCACAGGTCCTTCTCGTCCTTCTTGGCTACAAAGCACAGATTTTAAACACTCGGGTTTGTTTAACACTTGACAAAAGTCGCGTTTCTTCCCCCCCCCGCCCGTTGTACTAGGGCTGCTAAACGGGATGGCTTGTGTCGAGGCTCTCTGTCCTTCAGGCTGTCCTCTACCTGCTACTTGTCCTGCAAAGGGTTTCCTTACCCATTTGAGACATGTTCTTGGGAAGTCTGGCTTTCCTGTTTAAGTCCCTGGAGTGCCAGACCAGCTGTTTACATGACCAGGTATGGATATCTTTGCTTACTGCTTACCTAAGTACCTGTGATTCAGAAAAAAGACTTATAAATGCATCGGAAGTGATGTTACTCATTTAATTTCTTTGTGCACTGGGGTGTTTACTTGATGTTTCTCCAAGCTGCTCTAGTGGGTTCCCCTCCCTCTCCTTATTTCTTAAAAAAGCATTTACATTAACTTTCAGTTAATTATAAAAGAAGGATTAACCTGTTTTGGACCAAACTCCAAGTATTTTCCATCTAAAACCCCAAAATATATACTGAATAATTGCCCAAGAATGTAGGCGCTGTATCTGTTTAAAATAAGCTGTGAGGACGTGAAGAAATCTGGCAAAAAGCACAGAGGAAAGAGAACACCGTGACGTTTTTGTGTGTGACTGCAAACTATGGGGTTAGGTGCCATGTGTAATGGTGGATATTCAGCCTGACTGCCTAGCGATGTTTTCGTGGGGCGTAGAAATTTATCTTCTTTCTCCTTGAATTTTTTCTGTTTGCCTCTTCTACAGTGCTAACAGCAAACATTTTTTGATCAGGATCAATTACTGAAACAGGATCACAGTGTAAACTGCATGGAGAATTTCCATAACGGCACAATTGAAAACTGAGGCACTGGTATTAGGGATGCTGGCAGCTGTAGCACTATGGTCATGGTTGAGCATCAGAACAAGAGTGCCATGTTCTGATGGCACCAGACAGAAAGGCCTGGCGTGTCCTGTACTCAGGTGGTTTGTTGTGCTCTCTGTTGGAGTTATTGGTGCTTTTGTACCTACTGGAATGCAATTACCTTGTGTTTCTCCCGTTAAAGCTGGCAGGTCTGCAGTTTGTATTAAAGGCTTGTTTATCTCAGGCTCTTCTTTTGCTGGCAGAGTTGCAGAGTCAGACGGCTGAGGCTGCTCTCTCGTGTCGGTAATCTCCTCAAAGTGTATAGTTGGCTTGGATGTCCCATTAGAAACAAGAAACATTTCTTCTATTGTGTCTTTTTTCTCTCTTGTAGTGGTCTCTCTGGTAACAGTAGCTTCCTCTCCCTTGTCAGTACTAGGGACCTTTTCAGTGGAGTCTTCCATTTCTTTTTTAGGTGTGACACTAGCATCTTTGACGGTCACTACCTCTTTTTTACCAGCTGTTGCTGTCTCTACAACGACACAAGTAGTACTTATGCTCTCTTTAGCTGCTGCTGTTACAGTCTGCTTAGTTTCCACAGTTGTGTCTCTTTTAGATGTTGTCACAATGTCCCTGGGTTTAGGAGTTGAATCTGTTTTGGCAGTTGTTGTCAACACAGTAGGCTTGGGCATGGGAGTTGTAGCTGCTGTGGCTGCTGTTGTTACAGTCGCTGTTCCCACAGGTCTCTCTTCTTTTTTAGCGGTTGAAGTCACTTCTGGTGTAGGAGTCCTGTCTTGTTTAGTTGGAGTTGCTTCTTTTTGTGCAGCAGTTGTTGCAGGCTTTTTGTCAGCAGTAGTTGTTTCTGATTCAGCCGCTGTAGAGATAGCTTCCTTGGCTGTAAGAGTTGCATTTGGAATATCATCCTCTTTAGGAGAGTCATCTGGTTTAGCCGTTATCACCATGGTTACTGTAGTTGTTCCTATCCTACCTGTTAAAATGTCTTTAAGCAGAGTAGTTTTCTCTTTCTTGGGGGGTGTTATCTCTTTGTTCACCGTGGTTGTTTCTATTTTAGTTGTCGGCTCTTGGGTTATACCACTAGTTAAAGTTTTAGCTGTTGTTTTGTCTTTTTTGTCAGTTATTGTTATAATCTCAGTAATCCTAGCTGGAGTCACCGCTGTCCTTTGTAGGGCTGTAGCTGTTTCTTTTGCAGTTGTGCTGGCTGCTACTTTGGGTGTAGGAGTTGCAAATTTCTTTTCTGTTTCTGAAACAGTTGTCTCTGATTCAGGTATGGGTCGTTCCTTTCTAGTTGTAACAAACACTTTACTTTGAGTGGTTGTGTCTTCTTTAGCAGTTGTTACTAATGCAGGGACAGCAGTTCTCACTTCAATAGGTGTTGATTTCTGGATGGCAGTGGTGTCAGCCTCGGGAGATGCAGAGGTAGTCCCCTTGATGTCAGAGGTGGTGGGACACTGTACCTCGGTAGTGGGTGACTCTGTAACTGCAAGGGTTGTGTCTTTAGGTGTGGGGGTGGTGGGAGAGTCTGCTTTGGTCGTTGGTGCCTCTGGAGTTGTGTCTTCTGGTTTGGGGGTGGTGGGAGAGGCTGCTTTGGTTGTTGGTGCTTCTGGGGTGGTGGGAGAATCGGCCTTGGTTGTTGGTGCCTCTGGAGTTGTGTCTTCTGGTTTAGGGTTTGTGGGAGAGTCTGCTTTGGTCGTTGGTGCTTCTGGGGTGGTGGGAGAATCGGCCTTGGTTGTTGGTGCCTCTGGGGTTGTGTCTTCTGCTTTCAGGGTGGTGGGACAGGCTGCCTCGCTTGTTGGTAACTCTGTGGCCTCTGGGGTTGTGTCTTCAGGTTTGGGGGTGGCAGGAGAGGCTGCCTCAGTTGTTGGTGCCTCTGGGGTTGTGTCTTCTGCTTTCAGGGTGGTGGGACAGGCTGCCTCGCTTGTTGGTAACTCTGTGGCCTCTGGGGTTGTGTCTTC